CTTCTTCAGACTTTTTGAACAATTCCTCCATTATTATTGTCATTTCATTTCGTGCCTGAGAGATTATTTCTGATCTCATCTCATCTATGACCTTATGGAGTTGTTACTATACTTCCATTGCAATCATTTCAGCGAAGTCAGGCATGTGTTTACCAAGTTCTCCTTTGTCGATGTCTCCTGGACTTGTTCTGAATGGGGTGGAGTTCTGGGATTGTGTTTTAGTCCTTCGTTTTGTCATGTTTGCTATCGGATGTAGAAAGCCTTTTCCCTCTTCAGTAGCTGCACAGTCAAGGCCACTCGTGTCCCTAGGTTTCCTGATGGTGAGGTTTGCCCCTGAGTGACATCATGAGAAGCGCTACTTAGTCTCAGGTTTCTGGCAGTTGTTGATTTGTATCTGGTTATCCCCAGTCTTAGACAGGGGTGTTGGTGTCAGCTGATGTCCAACCATCTGATCCAGCATCCCCTTGAAGTTCAGGGCACCTGCAAGGCCCGGACTCGGGTTGCACTTGTGTGACACTCACGGTCCAGTGGACCTATGTCCCCAGGCAGTTCATGGTACAGGCATAACCCAGACACAACTGCAGGGTTGACAGTTTGTGAAACAACTGATTCTGTGTCTTCAGTCACTTCAGGACATATAGAGGAACCGGATGCAGGCCGGAAGGGTATCGATCACAGACTGCCTGTGCCTTCAACCCCCCAGGGGGTCCCTGCAAAAGTATAGCTCGGACTTGAACCACGGGACCAGCAGCTCCCGAGCACTCACAGACTCAGCACAGGGGTGGGCAGGGCGGGGCTAAACGAGCGCCCCCCCCAGCCAGAGAAGTCCCTGGCGTTCTGAGTGTGGACCTCCTCTCTGCTGCCAGTGCCTGGAGGTCAGAGACTCTGTAATCAAGAGGATGAAAATTAAATCATTTGGTAAGTTGTAACTGGTAGCAGTTCAGTGCCTCCTCTCGACAGAAACAATTTCGACAAAAGTCAGGACCTGAAGTCCCAGGAATTCCTTGCCAGCCTTGGGGCTTCCGAATCAGTTTGAGGCCAGGAAGAGAGTGCAGGTGCGGCTGGGAGAGGAGCGGCCAAGACTGGAACCTGAATCCAGTCCTGGCGGGTTTGTAGGAGGGTGACTTGCATGAAACACTCCTCTCCTCAAATATTCCATTTTGAATGTGTAAAACTGTAGACAATGATGTCTTGTACTGGGGGCCACAGCAGCCTACAGCACAGAGGGCCCAGCAGGATTCTGGCACCCCGTAATTGCTCTACAAATTTTACTTTCTTTGCACCCCATTTTCCCAAAATCTCTGTTATTTCTACCTCAGAGTCTTGTGTGTGGAAGGTGATTACATCATGGGCCGTGTGTTCAACCGTAGATTCATCCCCAGATGACTTTGGTACCTAAATGTGCTGTCAGCAGGTGGGGCCTGGCTGGAGGTGGGGTCCTGGGGACTTAACCTGACAGTCTGTGTCCCTGTCCCTGACTCCCCCTTCTCTCTTTGCCTCCTCCCTGCCGTGGCTGAACAGCTTTCTTCTGCCACACCCTTCC